TTATAAGGTGAAGGTTAGTTATATTTGATACAAAACAAGGCAGAAATGCTTAGATGATCATTTTATTTGAGATATACGTAATTGTTCGGTAGTTTTTGTACAGCTACAAGATTTTTCAATGGATGGATGTCAGGCGGTGTATTGACGTTAGTCACACAGCCTGGTCGGGTTAGAGTTTAGACCGAATAATTCTGTCCCATATAACCTTTTTTATATTTTGGTGAGGCTTATTGGGACAGAACGGGGTTCATTGAAATTTTATGAGATCGCATGCAAAATGCATGCGCTGGGAATGCGGCCCGTACGCCGCTATTGGCGCGAAAAAAAACCTACTGTTCCCTTCTACATGGCTTTACCTTGCTACTGATATGTGTATACATTCACTTCAATCGTTATTCACTTCTTAAAAGATTGTTTTTCAGAAACCCCGCTTCATTTAACTTTAGTAAATCACGTTCGCCATTTACAAACAATCAGACCAATCAGAGCGAGTCTATCAGCCCTCCTGCAGCGCCACAGATACAAGCGAGAACCAGGGGCTATTGTAAGACTCGCTCTGCTTGGTCCGGTCGCATATAACCAGAGTGCTAGTAGCCTGACTGGTCGTGTTAGAATTGGTCATTATAGTACTCGCACGTAGTGTTACATGACATCATTTCACACCTTTCTGCCTTATAAGTCACATTTGTAATTACAAAATGCACAATTGTCACAATGTCAGTAGTGCGAATGTCATCGAATCTTTATTACGGTGTTCGTGCTTAAAACAATACCTGTCAGTGTCAGGGCTAGTGGTTTTCCTCGGTTACTAGCCCGATGGTCTAGTGAAATAAAAAGTGAATGTTGAACCTTGCATAGTAGTTTCACTTATATACCTACACAGGGTTCTCCAAGCTTTTAAATTATAGCATGGGGGTGGTACTCAGTGCTAGGGGTGTCGGGGGGCATACCCCCCCCCCGGAAATTTTTTGAATTGTAGAAGCTCTGAGATGCAATCTGGGACACGCTGTGTGTAAATTTGAAGCACTGCATGTGGGGTGAAAATGTTTGTTTTGCATGTGCAAAGCCATCGAAAAATTCAAAATAATTAATGGAATAAAAATACCAAAATGTAGGGGTGAACTTGCTGGTTTGCTGGTTTCAAATCGAGTTCACCTCTCATAAATAAAAAAAAAAATTTTTGTCACCATTGACAATAGCAGGAGTGGTCGGTAAGTGTACCAGTCTACTCTACCTCGTGTTCGACTGGGTTACCTGCCCCGTAATAATGCCGTTGGAAATTAATTCACGATTTAATTCAAGATTTCTTGATGAGCTAGAAACACTCGGATTTGAAGTATGATTGAACATTATTGTGTCAGCTAGCCTACACCAGTTGGTTGGGATTGATTGTCAGTTCAGATGCAAAATATTTAAAGCAAAAGGTTATACACCATAGATTAATTTTGGTATAAGGGATATATGTATAGGGGGTAATATGTGATAGGGATTAGGGATATGGTTACTGTTTGTGTTTGTGTGTGCGACTGCCGTAACCGTAGCATTGAGACCAACGTGTATTAATTAATTGTTTGAACTTCTCATGTATACACCAGCATGGCGGCTATGATATTTAGCGTGGCGGGTGCATTTTAGGATGGCGGGGATCCGCGATAGCCTGGCGGCCATAAGTGCTTTTGGAGAACTCTGCTACAGACGGTTGAGGATTTTATTCGTTGGCGACATCCAAAGGGTTAATGTAAATTTTTTATCTCAAAGCAGTTGCACCATGGAAAATGAATAAATCTAGTGCAAACTTCACTAATATAATCAGAAGTAGATAATAGGGAAGGAGTGTGACTTCAATAAACAAGGGAAATTTTGTCATTTACTAGCCTTAGAATACCTATGATCTACTACGCGTAACTCAACCAACTTGAGCTCAAATCGTACACAGTACATTCGCCTAGCATCGTGCGAAATCGTTTCCTCGTATACACTCGCAATCTGGAGATACAGACTAAAACGTTCGACACAATTCTACATTCTGTTGCCAGCAAAACGAATCCATAACCCGCCTAACTTGAAACAATAGGCAACTACTAACGACTCGTAGGTATTCTAAGGCTAGTAAATGACGAATTTCCCTTGTTTATTGAAGTCACACTTCTTCCCTATTATCTACTTCTGATATATTGTACTTCAGTAATGGAAAGTACAGCAGGGTGAACAGAATGCTGCCTTCACCATACTTTCTGCCAGTTCAATAAAAACGAATTTTTTTGCATTTTTTATATATGAAATAAATCAGAATCAAAATCTTCCATCCATTTTCAATTGCTCTTATGAATAAATGTGTATGTTCAAACTAATTTCATTGGTATTTTTTCACACACCCACCCTGCATTGCAATAAGTTGATAAAGCTACTGAGGCCCATAGCAGTTCATGGAGCTTAACCTGTTTTACATTGGCCTTGAATTGGTCGCAGGACTTCCTGACTATCAGACTTGTGATAACATTTTAATATGTGTTGCTACTGTAGATTCGTACATCTCCACTTACCTCCCTGTGATCCGTGTTTGTATGCGTCGATCCTGATAGATATACCAGGGGCGCTGCCGTGTTAATACTTTAAGTTTAAACTTTAATAATGAAAATAGTTTGTGCGCTGATAAATCCACGGTGGACAGAATACTTTAAAGGGACAGTAGCCTCTAGGATTTTACTGCATACAACTGTACTTACTGTATAACAAATCGTGTATACCCACACGTATTTGTTACCAGATACCTAATTTAATTGTTATAATTAATTACACATGAACGCTACAAAATTTGAACGGCGCCATGACACCCGCGACCGTGCTGCTACCCCGAAAAAGTTGCGTATTTGACAATTTATTTTGCACGTTACAGACCGAGGGCTAATCACAAAAGTGCAATTATATTTATACCTAAATGCTATTTAACCGAACGATATTCATTTTTTTAGGGCAAATTTATTCATATTATAACTGAAACTATATATGTCGTCTCCTGATGTCGTCTATAAGATATTACAATCCTTTTGCTTTTAAATGAATAAATAAGAAACACCCTCGGTCTGTAGCCCTTGGCTGGAAAGTGGTTTTGCGCAACTTATCCACTGATCTCTATAATATAATCATAGATATTATCAATTATCATAATATTATAATCAATTATAATCAATCAATATTATATATATATATATTATATTATATATATATAGATA